ATTCATAAACCCACGTCTCGTCACATCTCTTTTGCGACTTATACTCGACGTCGTTTTTGCAAAAGGTTCAGGTCTTTTGGTACGAGCTTAGCACTAAATATTACTCGAAATAGTTGAGCCGGTTCACAAGAGATGTTGAGATACTCTGCTATGTCTCTGATGCCAACACGACAATTTCTAAGCACCGTTTGTTTAACTTTTTCGATGTTATTGTCATTAACAGAAGTGGATGGTGGACTCGCGAATCTAGCAAAAAATGTATCGATTCGGTTTGCGTGCGGAACTGTCCGGGTCAAATTTGATCAGTTGGTTAATTTTTGAATAAATTTCACTAGATCGAAAATATATGCGACTTTATCATTTCTCGACTGGGCAGCTGATAGTCTTAAGAAGACACTTGTAATCGAAAAGCTGCCCGAAGAGACCTTATAGCTATTTTTCGAACCATCTCAATTCTTTGCACAGATAGTTTATAGAACACGTCGATATGAGTGAAATTTTGGCATTAAATTCTGTTGTCTGTCCGCTTAGTACAGAAAATATCTCTACTATACTCTGCCGTGAACTAATAGACATATATATAGGACCATAAAAAGAGTGATCGAGCACTATCAAAATAATTTATGTTAGGAATTCTCTTAAAAAACCTGGCCAAGGAGAGGAATTCTAGATCATCATATATTTCAGATACTATTATAAAATATTGATTTTGTCGTTGAATAGTTCCAGAATTCAAAGAATTATTAGCTCCGATCATTAATTGAAGCTTAAAAGGCTACTAGGATTGAACCAAAAAAGCGTCGTTTAGGCCTATTTTATATTTCATATACATAAACCGGGACTTAAAATGTTTTACTCATAAGTAGGAACCTTACTTGTTCGAACCTTATCTCTGAGAATCTTACTCGTTAGTTTGGATCAAAATTAAACTTACCTATTACTGGCTTTGCGGTAGTATTTCTTTTCCGTTGACCGTGGCGTCATAAGGTCAACAGCGTTGTCAATTTCATCCGCCATTGGCTGTAAAATGAAGGAAAGGTATTTTTTATTGGAAACAATTTATTTAATATGGAAATGCTGTTGGTATTCAAAATTAGCAAAAGTAACTACAAATATTTTAAATTAAGGTTGAAAAAGATACGGAGAAATTAAAGTGACTTCTGAGTCACCACGAAAAGAGACTGGAGGTAGCCAATATTGAGGTTAGAAAAAGATGTAATAAAAAAACTAAAATGAACCGAAATCATAAAACTGGAACAACGAACGCAATCAAGCTGCCGCATATGACCCAAAGCCAGACTAGATAAGGACCCAAATGCGAAGGAGGCTGGGCAACAGTGCACCCACAATGCAAGCAATCATACTTCTGTGTCACGCTGCGGATGGCAAATACTGTTGTATTCGTAATTCGTAGTTTCCTTTGTTTCCTTTGGTCGCTTTGAATATTGCCTTGCTGAGATTGCTAGTTGGTGGCAAACAAAGCGACACTGCAAGTTCCAAATTGGAACTTCCAATGAAGCCAACAGCGTGCAGCGCAGTGTGATGGAGTGCACTGTGCGCAATGTGCAACATGCGGGACGTGGCATACAAGTATATACAGAGCTCGTGTTGCGAGTTATTTTAAAATGTTCGTATAAATGTATGTATGTATGTATGTCAATGGGAGTGGTAACGTGACACAATGAGGACGCATATAAACTAACTGTGCCAGTTGGAGTATGAAATTGAAATTTTCAGTTATATTTTTAAGTTAACTGTCGCTGGTGGAATTGTTTTAGTTTTCGTATGCGAAATTTGTTACAGAAAAATATGAGTTTCATTTTGGGCGAACTTTTCCTCTAATTTATTATCGCCTCCATTGTTATTAGTGGCTATTCATTTCAAAAGTTAAAATACTGATACAGGAGTACGCATTCCGGAAACATCGTCGAACCAATGCTTAACGCTAAATTTGCCGACTCCACTGAATCAGACTTATTGATCATAGCAGAGAGGGTTGCCTATTAGTAGTTGATGTAACAGCTGAGGGTTTTTCTGTTTTGTGATGCTTAGAGAAAACCTTGCCTTCCAGCAGCGTCTGGGAGTGTCAGTTGATTTCATGAGCTGTGTTAGTTATATATTTTTGATGAACAGTTGCGGTTATTTTTTACAAGAAAGCAGTTGTTTTAATGGAAGAAGTCTGGAAAGTAGGGATACTAGAGATTATCGACTAGGCGGATCGTAAACGTAAAGCGTTGTCTCTCAACAGATTACATGGCAGACGATTTCAAACCTCGTGGAAGAATAGTGTAGAAGAGGTTGTCCACGCTATGGGTATGGAAATTGACTCGGCAATGTCAGGAAAAGTGAGTTTTGGATCAGCGTTTGATGGATCCGTTATTTGTTCGAAAGAGTTTGGAAAATGGAAATGCGGGACTGGCGTTTTTGAAAAAAATTATTTTTTTTGGATAAAGATCTTAAAAATTAATCTCTTAGTCTCCGAGTAATATTTTACACTACTATAGCAACGTGATTAATGATGATTGGACGCATTAGTGGTGAGCTTAGTATATAAACAATTGAAACACTCGTAATTTTACGATTTATGAGATTTTTTGAGATATCGTTTTGAAGTTTTGCATACATCTTTTTCCCAAAAAGCTGCTCAATTGCCGGAATCACCGTTATCGGACCGCTGTGGCAAATAGCTGCCATACATACTGAACTATTTTCTATTGTTTTACTGCTATTGTTGAAGCGACAGAAGCTGTCTGTACACCAGAGAAGGTCAACAGACATAAAGTAAAAGCACACCTTCTTATACGCATTGATTTCTTGGACCAAATGCGCTTATTCAGCGAAAATTTCAGAAAACAAAGTTTGTACTTAAAAAGTCATTGACTTTGTCAACTGACCTCGTGGACTTTAAATTGCAACGTAGCTTTTTAGAACTTTAGCTAACTTTTTCTCTTACTTCACAATAAAATTTAAATTACATGAATACATTAACCAACATTAAAAAGCAATAAGAATAAAGTGAAAGGAAAACAAAAGAAATAGAGAAATTTTAAAAATATTTTCTAACGAGCCAAAAGCAGAAAAAACAAGGAAAGCAACAACACTACAAAGTAGAATGGCCCAACTAAATCGCCAAAAAGCGAATACTTACCAATGTAGCTGCATTGACGGTCGACGATTGCTCGAAACTAGACATTTTCGTTTTGTACGCTTGGAGTCGCTGAAAACTACCGGTGGCTGCTGCAATGGATCGCGCCTGACGGAGTGCTGCAGTTAATGACTTTCTTATAGACACTTTGCTTGTTGCGCTCAAAGCTTGCACACTGCGCTTGTTGTCTTTTTATATTATTGTTGTTGTTGTTTGTGTGTAAAAATGCGCTTATCAGCAAATCTTGAGAAATGTTTATCAATAAGCTCTTTTCTTGTTCGCTTTTATTTGCAATTTGCAAAGTTTCGGCGTGTCTGCAATTTTAATGAGCTGGTAAATTGTGTGGAACTAAAATTTTGCGAATTCTGCGCAAACCCAAAAGCAGAGGAGAGTAGAATATATAAATTGCAGTCAATTAAAAAATTTAGTTTGGACAGTTGCAGAACATTTACGGTCTAAAAAGTGTGGTTGTGTATTTTGTTGTGTGTGAATGTGTACAAAAATAAGCTCCTCTGCACCGTTAGACAGCAAAAGCAGCTTGAGTAAACTTGTTTGTTTTTGATTTTGTAAGCAATATATATTTACATGTGTATTGCTATTTACATTTGTGTTATTGCAGCGTAAACTTGAAAGCTATGCACTTCAAATGCAACTTTTTAGCGTTCAGCCTGAATGTATGCTAACAATTTTGTAGGCAAGTATGGCACAGGGTGTTGATTGCTGTTTGGTTATTAAGCAGTTAATTTCTATATGTTTTTAATGGCTCAGATGCATATAGTAGTTATACATAAGTATATACATATGCATACATATGTGGTAGAGTGTGTATGTGAATTTTACTTATTTTTACAAATTATGCAAAATTGGTTAAAAAAGCTTCACTTTTTTTATTTTAAATACAAAAAATCATACATATTAAAACATCTTACTTCAAATAGTTAGACCTAAAAAAATAAATATAAGGAATTTCAATTAACGAGCGTGGATATTAGGGTGGTGTTTAAAACTCACAAACAATAAAATTTAAAAAAAATTTAAATATACACAATAATCAATGCTACTATGATCAAAAATATGTGTTATAAATTTTATACCTTTCTTGTGGGTTTAAACTTTTCACCCAATTTTTAAATATAATATGTATCTACATATGTGTCTGTGGCCATAGTCGCATAGAATAATATAAAGAGCTTAACAGAGCGACGACCGGTAGAGCTAAGCAGATTCGTTCAGATAGATTTGAGATTTGATATTGGAAAATCAAGGAACTTCAGGTTTTAGTCGATATTATAGCAAAGCCCCTTAAATACACTAGTACAAAAATTGCATTTTCCACGGAAATTGGAATGGGATAGAGGTTTGGATTCAGAATAATCTATCGGAAGAGAGTAGTGATTTACAAAGTGGATAGACTCAAATAATAATTTACTATGTAGAAATTTAATCAAATACCACTCTGTACAAAATTCACTGGAGACTTACATACATGTATGTACATATGACTACAACACAAATAATATAAGTTTTTAAATATATATGTAAATGAAATATCAATTTACTTTCTTACTTAATAAGTGTTTTATAAATAGAAAGTTATATGGTATATTATGGCTAATTTTCTGTAATTTCTAGCACTATGCGCGCATATGTACATACACATATACGTTATATTATATATATATATTGATGGAATAATTTCCTGCCACTTCCAGCGATTACGAAAACACAAAAACACCTTCATGAAGCAATTCATAGATAAATTCAGGCACATGTAAGTAGCACATACGCCACTGCGCACATATGTTTGTATATACAATATGTACATACATTTGTATGACTTCACTAAACAAACTAAATTAACATATTCAACTACAATACATACATAAGTACATGTTTGTATGGACAAGCACATAATAAGCTAAATTAGAATACTAAAATTAGAAATTGTGGAAAAGCGTGGAAAAACCCCGAAGAAGAACTGAAGGTGAGCCCAAATATACGAGGATACTACGCGCTACACAAACACGCTGAAATCACAGCAAAAAATTTTGATATAAACAAAGAAGGAAGATGTGGACAGCATGGATATTTTCATATCTTCCAAGCGTTCGCACACAAAAAGGCACATATGATGCTTATATACATACATACATAGATATGTATCTTCGCGAAAAATTGAGGATGGGGGGTCATTATGTGCGCAGCAGTCGAGCAACGGCGTAGCAGGTTGCGTCAAAATATGGAAAACTCAAAATTATTCAGACGCATAAATGTCAAATGGAAAAATTACGAAACTTTTTTTCACGGTGATAAGGTTTATAAATACGATTTACGAAGTAAATATGTGCTATCTATATTAGTACGTACTAGGTTTGTAAGTGCATATGTATGTAATGTGTTAGTGGCTTGTGTACGATGTGATTAGCGTTTATGGTTGTGTACCTTTCTTGTGTAAGCAGTTGTGGCGGCAGAAAGGCGTTGCGCTTTCTTAGTTAAATGCCGCAGCGAGCAAAAAAGCCGCATAAATCAGTTGGAACAATTTTTCTTGTTAACGCTTTTTGTGGGCGAGCTTAATTTCCGCACGCAATTGAATGATGACGCACAGATTTTTGTAGACTAAGTTGATTTCTTTCGATATGAACACACTTCCAGAGCGGCGTGGACGCGGTGCGTTGCACAACTTGCGTAATTTCTGCGCTTTCTCACACACAAAAGACTGAACAAATTTACGGCTGAAAATTTTCACTGGAGCAAACGTTCGCCGCCACACTTTCCTTGAACACCCGCACAACTCTTTAACAAAATTCGCGCAAATTTAAGTTCTTTTCCTCTTTTTAATTATGCTCACAATTATTTATGCACAAAAAGCGTTTTAGAAAGCACAGAAATGTAGTTAAAACAATTTGCAATTTGTTGGCAAATGCAATATTCCTACCACTCAGCGATTTATCCAATTGATTCTTTGGCTTTTCACTTGTGTTCTTTGCGTTTGCACAATTTGACATTTGCGGCGCAGTCGCAGTAATCAGACGTCAGAACTCAGCTGTTTTTTGTTGTTCGTGAAAGAAATGTAGCGAAAAGTGCATGATGCGAATTGAAATGAAATTGTGATAATAACAAAAATTCAAAAGGCAAAAACAAAACAAAAGTAGCTACGCCAGCCGGCTGTACAAGCAAACACAAAACAAAAACACATGCCCCATCACACGTAAAACAATAACAACACAAATCAGTGTGTCAGAACTTGTTTGTAAACAAAATACTTTTGTCACGAAAGCTTCAAGCGAAGTATGCACCCGGTAGGAAATGAAAACATGTGTTAATAACTTCTTTAGTGATATAAATCATTTACATACATAAATACATTTATAAATATGGTTTATATGTATGTATATGGTATATATGAATATAAATTTTCATACGTTTAAATTGGTACAAATTTTTAATATTAATAATTCTTGTAATAATTTTTAATAAGATTTCCGATAAAATCAGAACTCAGTCGAACGGGGTTAGAGGTGAGTTATCTCTACATGTTTTTTGCTATAAGAAATGAGGAGTCAAATATCGTCGGAAGAAACCGATTTTATCTGTCCAAGCTTACTTATCTGAAGTCGAAAATTCAGTTAGTTGCGGCTACAATTGTACATCGCTTGCAGAATAAGGGAACCCTAATGAAATGAAATCAAGAACGAACATTAGCTTCGGTTGCATCGAAGCTATAATACCCTTCGCAGATATAAACGTTTCCATACAAGAACTTGATTTTGATTGTACAGATTGTATGTATGACAGCTTTATGCTATAGTGGTCCGTCATCGGTGGTTCCGACAAATTAGTAGCTTCTTAGAAAGAAAATGGCGTGTGTAGAATTTTAAATCGATATCACAAAAACTGAGGGACTAGTTTGCTAGACGGACAGACGGACATGGCTACATCTAGTCAGTTCGTTAAGCCGATCATTTATATCTGCTATATATTTTATGAGGCTTCCGACGTTTCATTACTTATTGTAGCCTATGTAGGGTATAATTAGTTTACCATGAAGGTGAGATAACCCTTAAGCATAGAACTTTAGTGAAAGATATGCCTGATTTAAAAAGAGTTCTGCTGAGAGATATGAGCAAAGCTTGTAATTATTTAAATAAAATCCTGGTTCTATTTCTTCAAATTTCCAAAATTTTCAAAAATATTTAAACTATATTGGAGCCCAAACTATAACTTATGGTTTTTAGATCTTTCGTGGGGCTTCTGAACTAACTTTGATAAGAAATATTTTCAAATTTCTCAGTTTTTAGATTAGTTCTTCGAAACTACGTATGTTTGAGAAACAAATTCAATATTAAAATGTATAGTAGAGCACTCCCGTCATTTGTATACCCAAGTTCAGCATGTGATTTAAGTACTGAAGGAATATGCCAATTGGACTTAACGTACGAAGTGGGAAACTCTAATACGAGTTATTTATTTTAAGCTTACAAGGTATAGCTTTTACTTTTACCGTTCCATGACAATCGAGTCTACGTAGCCGGAACGGACGCGGATTCTACAATCAACAACAGGTCTTACTTTTACAATGTTACCGAAATGTGTTTACAAAGCAGGCATCATTTCATATAACAATAATATTTAACTCAAGAAGTTGTAGTCACTTACATAGGTGTTAAGTTTGCTTCAGGTCAAATAATCATTTCATCTACACATATTAACTAACTTTATATTTGGGCCATATGTGGAATTTTTTGATAAAGCTGATATCAGATCCATTATATATTTACATAAATACAAATTCTAGACAATGGTTGGAATCGAACTTGAGATTCCTTCATGTTTTCATCTGACTCCGGACAATTTTTAGTCTCGCTTTAATTTCAGCTCTGTTCAACACTTTATTCGGATCAGTCTGTTATCCGAAAATATACATTTTTGGTCCTGAAGTGGAACGTATTCCATGTCTAATGACTCGTTTTTTCGGTTTGAGATTTTTCTGTGACATTTTAGGTACGAACTCCTTAATGCTATTTAGAGTTTTACTCCGACCGGTTCTCTCCTTTGTGAGTAGCTTCACATAAAAATAAACCACCACTTATGCTCCACCTGTCTAGCTATATTTTGTTTCAAACTTATTATTAAATTTCTGGGTAATTTATCTTAATTGACAGCTTCAATTTCATGAAACGATCTGAAAAATGCTTTTAACGCATTCGACCACCACTTAAAAGCCCACTTAAATGAATTACCACATTCCGTGGCTGTGTGAACCGTAAGAATTCACGTAGAAAATAAAATTAAAACATAAATAAGAAGCTATAAAACACTTAATTTTATGACACCGGAGACCGGAGTCGGAGTGACTGCTTCCCATGGCGGGGAGGCGGGGAGCAGGCGTGTCGCGCACTTAAGACGCCCCATTTAAATCAACGCTTAACAGCAATTTGTCCAACTGAACTGCCTTAGTTTTTTTTTGTTGTCGCCATTTGTTATTGTTGTTGTTATACTTGCTAGCGTATACGCAATTTACCTGTAATTAAAGTATTTATTGCGCTACTTAAGTATTTTCAAAAGCGGAGCTAAGGAAGTTTCAACTCCAAATTGCAGAAGAGATGGGGAGTGTGAGAGTGATGGAGAAAGAAGAATTTTATACAAGAAACTAAAAATAGCAGCGCCGCGCTTATGAAGTTGCAATTTAAGTTTTTTGTTTGCCTCTTTTGTTCATAATTTTTAACTTTTTAATTGCTTTCGTGTACAGTTAGCAATTAATTTCTTGGGTTTTGATTTCTTTTGCATCGGTTTTCTCTTGGCCTCTGCTAGCCAAAGTTGAACTTCTATAAAAGCAGCAGAGAGGCTCAAGATGCTACTGCGCCCACGCCCACCTTGCCTAAGTAACAGCAGTAACAACAGCTAATGCAACAACAACAAAAAGTATAATAGCAGCAACAATAATGAAATTATAACAACAACAACAATAAAAATGTAATAGAGTTTAAATTCAACATTCATAACAGTAAATTTACAACAACAACAAAAATTACAAATACCACAAAAAATTGCAATAACGTTGAAATCACAACAATAATATAATTACAACAACAACATGGAAAGCACAACAACAATAGTAACAACAACAGCAACATTTTAACACATCAATTGCAACAACAACAAAAATTACAAAAACTACAACAACATTGCAACAATGATGAAATACATTCAACAACAGCAATAACATATGCAGTTACACAAAAATTGTAACAACTACAACAACATTGCAATAATGATGAAATTACAATACTTTAACCACAAATAATTAAAACAACTACAATAACGAAATTACAACAACAACAATTATAATAACAACATCATTAATGCAACAATAGTGGCAGTAGCAGTACTTCGTTAAAAACTTTTGACTTGCAACATTATTTTTCGACCGCCTCTTCGGCTGTCGGCGTCCAGCGCGATTTCAATACAACAAGCAACCGCTCCGGGATATATGTATGTACATATGTAGGTATGTATATCTTATGTATATAAATCTGTTTACATTAAATTGTCTAAAATCAAATTAATATCCGCAATCGTCTTGACAAGCAGACAGACACGACTATGCTGCCATAAATTGCATACACACATACACATCCACACATGCACATCCATTGTGCTTCAATTTGTATGAACACTGGCCCAACATATCCATAAATAAATGCTAATAATACATATCAACATACTTATATAACTGCTACATAATCGGATTGCTGCTGCTCGTTAAGCATTGTAGTTTACATTAGCCCAAACATTTATTCACAGCCGCAAAGGTGTGTCCGCCTAATACCTTTAATAAATACAACGAGTCTAACTACCTACATACATACAGATAAACGTAGAATTCACCGATTTAATTTTGATTTCACATTTAGACAGACTGTGGAGGCTTTTCGAATAAATACGCGCACAAGCCCCTTTTGTAGTTGCTGGGAAAATATTGTGGGCAACAACAAAATGCCACGAGAATTTTGCAAAATTTCCATTGTTAAGCACAGGTGGGGTTCATAGTGTTGTCTAATGCCAATGTCAGTGCTTTAATAGAGACTTACAGGGCGAGCAAGAATGTCTGACACGCCCAATGTTGATTTGACTTAAGTTTTTTTAAAGTGTTTGAAATATAAGTAGGTATATAAATACAGATGAGTTGCATGCATACATACATATCTACATACTCGTACATATATAAGCTGATGCTATCTACTTGTATAACCCTTACCATTGAGGCATTCTTTATTACTTAAACGTTCTGTAGAGTTGGAAAAAGGCCGAGGCGTACCAAAAAAATCCAAGATTTTTAACAAAGCACGCGAAAACTCATAAAAGATTTCAACTGGTCATAGCTTGGCAGTATTAAAAGAATTACTGTTTATTGAACACAACGTAATTAAGTTTTGGAGCGAAAGCTTGTCATCAACCCATTCCATTTCATATGCTGATTGGAGGAACTGTAGAGCAACCAAAAATGATAGAGACAAGATTGCAACACACTACGACATAGAAGAAGAAGAAATGTCAAACTTTCACAGTAATTATAAACAAGAGCATCCCCTATTGTCTTCCATGACGTCATGAACATTTCTGCAAAAAGTTATTTAGCTACAATGTTGCAAACATCATGAGAAACGGACTTGAAACGACAAAGACTCTTAGACTGTACTGGCTTACGAGACCAAAGCTGCTCACTATTAGATGTCAACTACAAATAACAAGAAAATATTTCTTAAGAATATAAAAGTATTTCTTAACAGAGCATATCCAAAAGAGAACATATTTGGACTGACCGTCGAACCTAAGTAGTGTGGACGGTTACTCACCTCCGCCGACTTAGGCTACAACTAAAGTATAAACATAGCGTTTTGAAAAATCTTTCAATAGACTCAGTTCTTTAAAATGACACTTCTGTTTTACAGGTATAAAACCCAGGACTATACTTATCCAAAGTTTAAATTCTCAGTGGGTGCTTACCAGTCAACTTGGGTCCGAAAATATTTTATAATATTTTTCGAATTGGGCCTTCAGCGAGTTATTACACGTCCTTGTCCACATTTGGATTTGTATTATTCTCTTAAATGTCTAAAAATCGGCTGGTCCATAAGACAGAAATCTAATACGAACAGATTCCTTCTTCAACTCAACTTCAGATTTCGGTTTGATGGAATCCGGTACGGCTAATTGACTTCAAGTTCTTCATCCTTTACGACGAAACATTGGGAACCGTAGAAGATATCACTTCTGAACCGGCTGAAGGCGGACATTCGCAAAAGTTATGTTCCAGCATCTCATCATCCTCCACGCCTGCTTTGTATTCCGTCGAATTTGTTTTACGATATTTTTGAAGCTGGGATCTTAAAGAATGGTTGTTCCTCCAAGGTTCATTGCTTCAAGCAACTCTTAAAGAAGCTGAATGGTTTAGGGCAGCTTAGGAGAAAGGATATCTCTGAGTGAGTCAGCTCATCAGACTTTTCGTTTTCTTCTATTTCTATATGATTGGGTACGCAAATGATTTTTACCGAGTTTTTTACTGAGAGTCCAATTATTGCCTCCTTGTATAACCTAAAGCAGTGAGACTTAGGCACTACGGATAGTTTTAACCTTTTATAATACAGACCAGCTATGGCGTAGTTAGATTTATCCTTGGTAGTTAAGGTTCATACCACATATTTAAGAGGTAAAATTCATTAGTAAAGAGTAGTGATTATATTCGCGCGTCGCTCCGCAAGGTAAAATCCACCCTTTTATCGAGAAATACAATGTACGACATTACGTTGTTTCCAAAAGAGGTCAAAGGAGTGAAATGCAGCAGCTTAAGTAAATGTGAATGCCCTTTTATATAATTAAATCAAGCCTGTCTGAGGATTAATGTCGAACTCAGGAGAAAAAGCACGTGACATGACAGCCTCATTAGTATATGACACCGTTTGGAACATGAACACAGCGAAAATCGGCGAAAAAAATTCGAATGTTATCGTCATTAATCATGTATTGTTAAAACAAGCAATTAATCTCCATTATAACTGCATGTCAATAAATTTAAGCGCTCAACTTGTGTGATTCACTTATCAGAGCGATTAAGAGATAGAGGGGGCGCTCAGACAGTGTTGGTGGTATGCATGGAACGATGGCTGCATAGAGCAATGCGAAGATGAATGATTGTGCATGTGTGAAGGCACGCGTGCAACAATAATTCGAGTGACACAAAGGGCGCTCGTCGTAAAATGAATTACGCGCGCGACTGCAGTGTGGCATGCAACGCGCGCACCACACGCAGCCTGCTGCACGCTACTTGCAGTTAATCAGCGATTGTCAGTTCAATTCTGAAAAATTTCGCATAAAAGCTGCAATTAATTTAAGCATTCAACGGCGTTTCGTGCATTTCAGAGCGCCACGGGCAACAATAAACTGGAAAATCATTAGCCACCGGATTTGGACGTCGCAGTCCGTTCGAAGCGGGTAGCATGCGGCCCACAGGCAGTCACAGCTGGCTGAGGTCTTAATCAAAGTCATAAAGTGCGTACGCATTAACCGCAGCGTGAAATATGCCGCGCGGCCGCAGCCTTCGCCACAAATACAGTCGCCGCGTTACAGCGGCAGTCGTGTCGAAATTGAGTTGTGAACATGCGCTTGAGTTGTGGCGCGCGTGGAAACAATCCCGGCTTACATAAGCGCGTTTTTGCTGAATCCATACATACAAACAGCTCTCTGTAAAAAATCCATACATACAAACAGCCCTCCACGGCTACCTGCATGCATATGCAACAATTTCGGTGGAAAACTTTTGTGCGCTTCTAGCGTGTGTCATGTGGCAAATTATCGTTGGGTACGCACGCCACGTCACGTAACGCCACCAGAAAGTGCGCATATCGAAAATTTCGTAATTTTATGCCATAATTGAAATACCCGTATATGCCGGCGGCTATACGAAGGTGACCAACAGTTCGGTTCAGTAATTCGTGCCACTTGAACCACTAGGTATTTGTTGTAATTGTTGGTTGTGCCCAGCGCTGTACTGCCTACTTACGTAATTGCATATATTGCCTCCGGTGAGGAAACATTTAAATTTATTATTATTAATTGTTTTAAAAATGTTGAGAAACTTTGGAAGTTTCCATTTGATATTAAAGTGAGAGCGCATTGCTGAATGTATGTAAAATCTTTAATACTTTTTATGCCAAGGAATAAGCGATATTATTGCGCAAAATGATGGTGTAGCATCTTTAATGAACATGGCTTGGATAATTTGGGTAAAATCGTAATTATACGAAAAAATTTATTTTTAACAAAGACAGTTTCTCGTAAAGGTCGCCCAAGAGGCTGTTACAAAATAAACACAACAAAATAGTCATCACTCAATTGTTTTCTCCGGTTGTTTGCTGCCTTGTGATTGTTTCATGTTTCCGCAACTCTACTTTTCACGCCGGAGAACGCGCCTTGAGTTGTTCGAGAGCATAAAAAAGAAATTCTATCGAGAAGAATTGTAGTTTGTGTAGGTTTACGCTAGTGGAAAATTGTGATTTCTTAAAGTCCAGGACGAATTTAAGATGGTAGTTATATAGTACAATAATATTGAAAATTTTTAACTGATGATATTATGATCAGAACAAAAATATTGTGAAATTGGTTGTGTCTTATAATCTAAAAACTTTCTGGAACTACCCACTATGGGAAAATGTTGCTGATGCCAAAAAAAATTTCGCTAAGTATTATGCGGAAACTTCGCCTAAAACCCATTCGATTTTGACTTTCTAAATTCCGCAAAACATATATGAGAACCGTATATGAGAGACTAGATGCAGCGGACGTCCACACAACGCTATTACGGACAAAAATATCAAAAATATCTGATACCCTATATATAGCTGAGGAATGTGCTGCAAATATTGTTCTTGCGGAACATGTGTTTGGACCTTTGCAATAGTGGTACTAAACCCGAATTTATAGGTCGATATCGAACAATCGATGATACGAAGTCCAGTCTGTCTGACAAAAGAAAATTCTTCAAGAGAGACTATTATATGGGAACTTTTCAAGAATGAAATCTTAAAAACACGGTACCAACTGGAGAAGAACAAAGTTTTGAGCTGGTCCCTTGTGACTTTTTCCTATCGCCCTTTCGAAATCAAATAGATGTTAAAAGAGTCACCTATATACACGGGTCCATACTAAGTTTTAATTAGACTATTCGAACAATTGTATTTGAGGAATCTCCTCTAATGGCTGTGTTCTTTCTTCACTCGTTCTTTTAAACCTGGGACCTTATCTCTTCTCATTGAAGTACATTTTTGAAGCCTCTATTCAGATATTCATTCTAGAATTGGTTCCAGAAATATATCCTATTTCTATATTTTATTCTCTAATCGCGTGGAAATCAATCGTTCTTTAATACATCACAAGCCTACGTGATTTTAACGACCTAGCATTATAAAAAGTTTTTTTATTTTTTCTTCGTTCAGAATTTTTCTTTTTACACCTTTTTATGCCAGTTTTTCATCTTACAATATATCAGTTGAATATTTGTAAAGTTTTACTATCGCATTCTTTGTGTACTTTTTGTTTTTATTACATACCCTACTCCATTTCATCTCACCATCTCTATCTCACTCTATATCATCACTACCTATCCTGAAACGCTTTCACTATGGCACTATGGCATTATCTTTCATTATATTTCTATTATGTATCCTTCTCCAGTTTAACCTAATCTAGCTTATTTCTGTCTTTTATAATTTTCAAAGTGCATTTGCTGTGAAGCCTCTACACTGGATAAACTGTTCCAAGAAAGCAACCTCATTGCACACGCCAAAACACACGCCGCCGAGTGCATCAGTTTATTTAAGCATACTTTTGTGCGCGCAGCGTTGTAAATAGTTATACGCCATTTCTTCACCAGTTTTTTGAGTGCAACCATAATAGTGTTCTAACTTTATTCAACTTTGTGCTACTCTGTGCAACCGAGCAACATTTTATGAGTATGTTAACAGATAGAAAGCGATGAGCAAGCACAACAACAACAACATAAATAGCTGTGCAGAAATGTGGCAATAATGGTGTGTGTGTGTTGCGTGCTTTGCTGCGAAGTTGAAGACAGTTAACGCACCACGTCGACGCTTGACTGAACGGAGGAGTCCTGGGAGAGCATGTGAGCGCGCGTCTAAGAGCATAAACATAAACAACACTTGCACAAATAGGCGCCAGCGGCTTCGAAACGGCATAGCGGTGCATAGCGATTTAAGCAAAAGCATATGCTCGTAGATAAACTCGTGCAAAAAAAGGCAAGGCAAGGAGTCACGAAGCGTGCGTGGCCTGCGGCGCATATTATTGTGTAACTGCATGCGTGTGTGGGTGTATATGTGAAGGTATATATGCACGTAAAGATATTGGAAAAAGGAGGCGCAACAAAGCTAACTGAAAAAAGAGCAACATAAGTAAAAATAATAATAAAAATTAATAAAAAAAAGTTACGTATACGCAGTGGCAGCCACATTGCACCGCTTTCCGCTTGAATGCCGATGGGATTGCTCCACCAGCGCGACTGGGGTTTAAGCGCAGCATTTTGGTAATAGACTGAATGGCATTCGAATGCACTAACGGTAAATGCGTTTGCTGACGGGGAAGTGGAGAAAAGACAGTTGCCTTACGTTGCGTTTGTGCACGCGCTCTTTCGTGCGGAAATTGTGTGTGCATGAGTCAAAGTAAATCAATAATGGAGTGCAGAAAAAAATCGAGAGTACAACAATAAGAAAAAAAGTGCAGCGGTAAAAAACGATAAATAGTGTACTACATCATCACAGCAAGTGCTGAAACTCGATGCTAAGTAAAGGAAATTGAAAGCTGCTGCTTTGCTTTGTTTTGCCGCGCTCAGCGGCATTCATTGCCTTTGTTGCGTGTAAGCCAACTAAAATGCTTCTCAAAACTTTGTTACTCTGAGTTATTTCGGACAAAATTTTTTACGCGCCTGCCAAAATTGAAATCACAAATTTTTGCTATCGAAGTAGAGGGTTGAACATATTTTTGAGAATGGTTGCCGGCTATTTTAAAATTTCTGTAAATAAAAAAAATTTAAGGATTTAAAATCATAATACGAAAGTGTAGCCACTTCTTTGCATAATTAAATATTTTAAAATTTCTGTATGTAAATTAAAACATTAGAAAAAGTTGAAAATTTATTTAAAAAACGTTGCCACTTGTTTAAGAAATTTAATATTAAAAAGCTTTAAAATTTTTTAAAATTAAAAATAAAAAAAAATTATAAAACGTTGCCACTGTTTTGGAAATTTTATTGTAGTTTCTAACAATTTAAAAACTTTTAAGTGTTAATAAAAATATTTAAGAAAGTTAAAAATTTTTTGGAAAGCATTGTCACTTGTTTAAGAATTTTAATTTTAAAAGACTTTAAAAATTGTAAAGTTGCTGCATGTAAATAAAAAAAATTAAAAATGCTCAAAATATATTTAGAAAACGTTGCCACTGTTTTGGAAGTTTTTGTTTTTGTTTAAACATTTCTAAATGTTATTAAAAAAAATTAAGAAAGTTAAAAATATATTTTGAAAGCATTGCCACTTGTAAATAAAATTTTAATTAAATACATAAATATAAGATTTTAAGAATGCCCCTTTGTAAAAAGTTAATGCAGTCTTGAATTTTAAAAAATCGTTTTTTTTTTGTTTAAAGTATACTTTTAGGATCCAAACATTATTGAATTGGTAAAATAGTGAAAAACTTCCTGACCAAATTGCCGTAGCGTCGAAGCACTCGGCTCAGCCAGCTGAAAACGTAAAATTTTAAACTCGTTTTTCTCGAAACTACACTTTTGAGCGAGGGCGAGAATGGATCCTCGTGCCTTTTACACGTATCTATTTGAAAGTTAACAGCAGTTTCACAGTAACATTAACTACTGAATTGCTCGCTGATATTTTGTTATTACTGCAATATCTTTTTTACAAACAATTTGATTTTTTTCTTTACAAAACCGTAAATTTCGTCTTAAACTAAAAACATATGAACTTGAATGCAAGTCTTATTCATATCAAGAACCCGTTTAAATTTTTTCTAACACTTGTTCTGTACTGGCGCTTTTGAAACCCGCTTCCCAAGATTGGTCGATCTGTCGCCATTTTGTATAGAAATCTCAATATATGTATGTGTGTACAATTTTTTTTCGCAAAGAAGAGAGCTCTAGACTGATTTAACCATTTAAATTTCTTTTTTTTTTAATAAATTAACAACTCTTTGAAAATTTTAATTCAATAAATTTGATAAAATAAATTAATTACTATAATGTGGGATCAAACAGGAAAGAATGGATTCACAAAATTTGTATTATCATAGTGAAATTTATGGTTTTATGATATTTATTAAAAATGTTAATAAGTATTTACAAGTTGGAAAGTGGTCAACATGAAAAAAAATTGTATTGACTAATAGTTATAAAATTCCAAATACTTTTGGCTAGTGTTATATTTTTAAGAAATATAAATAAATATATATAATAATATATATAATATTTGAAGCAATGAGTTTTAATAAAAAAAAAATATCTACTATAATGCAAAGTCTATAGAGTCTTAAGTTTTATGTTTCTTTGTTTTATTTTTTTTTCTTGCAAAATAATCTAAAAAGTCATTTTATTGTTTATTTTTAGTAACATATACCATATGCGGCTTCGGTCAATATTTTACTTTAATTGCGTAAAATGCATTAATTAAGCTACATTTTTGATTTATTTCATGTTTTTTTTTACCAATAACAAATATTTGTGGCCGCAGTAATTAAAGCCTTTACAATAATTAAACGACACCTCGGTGCACCGAAACTTTATATCATGGCCAGTGCGCAAACATGCACACAAATACAATACATAAATAGTATAAGTATGTAAGTGTATGTGTGTATATGCATATGTGTGTGCGTGCGTTTGCAAAGTGCAAACTTATAATTTCGGCCACACCTTCGTTTGAAGTCGCTTGTTTCTGTACAAAAATCCAATTAAATCGCACAGCTTGCGCGCTTTTGGACAGACATCCTTATGCATGTTTGTGTGTTACCATAGAATGCAGCAAACGGCCAATTGCCGCCACTCGCTCGTTCTTAAATGGCAGGCCAATCGTTTGAGCTTTTGAATTTCTTACATAATTTTTGCAATTACAATTAGCTTGAGCTGATATTCTAGAGCGACAATTGCTCGACAATGATTCGGTAATTAACGGCTAATATCCGATTTAACGACGCTAATCCGCATAAATGGGCAGTATTAGCGGTATTTATTTTGCAATTAAAATTTAGTCGCTAAGATGCGGATTTATTTTGAACTATTTTGAATATTCGAAATATTAAAATACCTGGACAATTTGTTTTCTGGATGGCTATAGTAAGAATTAAGAGTTCGACAGAAGATCTTAATAGTTCAAAAGTACAGTGACCTGCCTGATCGGGGCAAAAATGGGATATTTTGATAGGTTACCACTTCCTTAAGACCCAGAGGAATTGTTCTGAACGTATGGTTCTTTCATCGAAATAAGAAAGCAAGTCTTCTTAAGGTTTTTTCTAAAATTAGCACGCTCGACTAAATGGTATAGTGCAATGTTCTAAAACTGTTCAAACAATCGTAAGATCTGATTCCTTCGACCAATTAACGATTTTGAATCATGGCCGTAATTTGTTTTACTTTATTCATTGTAAATTTGTGAATGGAAAGACTAATTTTAATTCAATATTCATCTCATTTCAGCATTTCTATGTTTTTTTTAGACCTCAAGGAACCAAAATGTTTTTGCTTATAATGTTATCGACGATTTATTATTAGATATATAGAGCTGTATAGTTGTTTTTTATATATAAAATTTTTAAACTGTAAAATCCCTTCAGTCACACAAAAACATTATCGAAATCAAAACTCGAATACGTCACCTTATCTCCATATTTCGACATCAGTGACAGCAATTAACAATATAATAATAGTATTTTTTATTAAAAATGCAGTTAATTTAACCGAGAAAGAGTTTAAAATTATTATAATTCCACTTTAATTTTGTTTTATTTACTATATTTTCGTTACTCATTTTCTTTATCAAAATATGNTCCCATATGGTCTAGTGGCTAGGATATCTGGCTTTCACCCAGAAGGCCCGGGTTCGATTCCCGGTATGGGAAAATATTTTTTACTTAATATTTCAATTATACCAATGGTCATTAAATTAAAGCCACATACTAATATGCCTTTATTAGAACTAGAACTTCTAGTTCTTAAAATTAGGCCTTCAATATTAAACATTTTGATGAAAATGTTTTACCATGTAAAGCTTATGCTACATGTATCACGAATATAAAAGGTAAAAGATAAATAATATTGTATATATTTATGAATTTAAAAGCAATAAGTACTAGAATTGAAAAAATGTTAAATGTAAAATAATCAATAAAAATATAGAAATGTATTTTATAATAAAATAAATCTTTAAATATGTCTCTGCATAAATGTTGGAACTTGTTTTGAAACTACTTGTCTTTAGGTTATTTTTTAAGAATTTTTAACTTTAAAACATATAATAGATATTGGTTAAGACGCTAACTAAAAACGGCGTTACCAACTATCCCATATGGTCTAGTGGCTAGGATATCTGGCTTTCACCCAGAAGGCCCGGGTTCGATTCCCGGTATGGGAAAGTATATTTTTAAGTCAGTTTAATTTTTATGTTTGCTTAGAAAAAACCTTAAAATTTGATTTAAAAATAATGTATTTAGATAACAAGAAAATAAAATAAAAGGCAAATCTTGTCACAAAATTTTGTAATAACCGATAATATATGGTACTATCGATACATTTTTTAACGTCCAATTTTTCTAATTTCTTCACTTTAAAGCATTTAACAAACATTCGTCCACAAATTTATCGTAGCTAAGTCTAAAATTGATTAAAAAACATTGCTTATTGATATCTTATATTTCATACTTTTAGAATATCTTTTCAAATATCTTGACATATTTTGAAGTTTGTGTTTGAAAACCGGTATTTTTCTGTCAAAATAAAAAAATATTAGAAAAATTAGTTGTGCCAGGTTAAAGATAACCTCCCATATGGTCTAGTGGCTAGGATATCTGGCTTTCACCCAGAAGGCCCGGGTTCGATTCCCGGTATGGGAAAATTATTATTTTTGTAAATTATGCACCTTTATTAATATAGAATATATACGGTACATATATTCAGGTATGTAAATATATTAAACTTATTTACGAGAGTATATTTTTAAAATATGCCTAATTCGATACAGTTTGCAGTCTAATTATAAAAAGAAATGTGAGATCTGTGCAATAATTCAGAAGTGTGCTATATATTAATTTTAGTTAATGAAAATCTAATACAGCTTCTGTCACATTTTGTAGTTTATGTTTGATAGAATTGAAAACAGGCAACATTGTAAGTGTTTACATACGGATATTACTTAATTTACACTATACATCAACATAGCATTTAGATAAGTAAGTATTTAAAATTGGTGTTGCCAACTATCCCATATGGTCTAGTGGCTAGGATATCTGGCTTTCACCCAGAAGGCCCGGGTTCGATTCCCGGTATGGGAAGATATTTTTTTGAGGGTTTTACTGTATATATTAATATTAAATTCCATCAAAAATGAACTGGTCAGAAAACTGGAAAACCTTTGAGCTTAGAATTAAGTTGTATGAGATGGTCTTAACGAACGAAGATGAAAATCCTGCGTTAGTTTAGTCTGTTCAGTCAATACCTTCTGCACTGTATAGTTTTCAGTGTTATATTTCTCTATTCTGATTTATTAAGCTAAATGCCAAAAGACAGTGTAAATTTATCGCGCATAAATTAAACGCCCATTGACTAAAAACGGATTTTTTTTTACATTTGTAGACCGAAATATACATATATTTTATACATATGTGAATGCAATGAAGTAATTAAGTCAGTTGCTGCCTCGCAATGCAATTAAAATACAATTTTATTCAAGAAATTCCCAACTAAGTTTAGTTAAGGTGCGAGTCCAAAACAATAATTACGATGAAGTCCACAGCAAATCAACCATAAAAAGTGCAAGCAATACAAATCGCAGTTCGATGGACACGCTGGGAAGGCATTCCGTCCACACCGTCTGAACGGTGTCTTGTTGTGTGCGCATGCCTGCCTGCCCGCCTGCCCGTTTGTCTGCTGGTCAAGTGTGTCAAACGCCTATTCGATGTCCGCTTAATTTAAGGCGAAAATCAAAAGTGCAGACGTAATTGCGTGTCGTTGGTAACGCTCGACTAGTAACATACACGACATTTGAGTGCGTGCGTTTGCTTTTGTTTACCTAATCCATTTATACAACAAAACTGTGTCGATCGGTTTTTTTCGCAGTGACTCACTTCGTCGTTTGTGTCATATTTAATTTGCTCACTTTTTGCTTCGTAGGCCGGCGGCTTGGCACATAATCCATCTTTG